ATATATATATATATATATAATGTACAATTCTTGGTTAACGATTAAGCATGTCTATCCTTATTTTCAAACTTATTTTTTCTCAAATTTATTTTCACTTATAAATTTTAATGGGACTCGCAATTTTTGAGATTATATGGTGTTGCACTTTGAAATTACCAAGGTTTTGGATGCATCAAAATATGACAATGCAATAATCTAACTATTGATCAATTCTCAAATTCAAGTCAACAAATTGAAATCAATCTATTGTCATAATCATAGATCTAATAATTTAAGTCCAACATAAATAAATCTATTATGAGCTTGCTCAAGAGTTCCTTGTATGAATCATATCAAAGAAAATAAAGAATAGTGGGATGTCAACCATGACGCCCTGGCTAGTACAAACACGAGATCTCATATAGTGTGTGGAACGATATTATGCTCATACTCTCCAATGCCTAAGGGCCGATTTCGACCTGTCCTAGTCCTAGAAGAAAGAAATCAACCCCAAGCCAAGTTTAGTCTCTCTTTCCTCCTTTTTTATCGAATAGATGTCATTGACAGGAAAATGATTCAAGTACAGAGAAATTTTATCAAAATTGGACCAGATTTTTGAATTCCAACTCACATGTAGTGGACCCCATGTACAAAATATTAAAAAAAATAAATTTTCCCCCCAAATGTTGTGTGTAGTTTGTAGGTACAGGAATTTGAATTCATGTACCTATAGCAAAGTCCTTTTTGACAACCTTTTTGTACTATACTGGTTCTAATGGTTAAAGTGTTTCAGGTAAGAAACGAGATGTTATAATTTGTCACACATAGTTTTGAAAAAAATAATAATAATAATGTTGTAAGAGAAACATTTCAAACTTTTGAATAGATATGTAGACGAGATGTTATGATTTGTCACGTGTCTTTTGGAAATGAAGTTGTAACGTAACGTCTTGATCTATCAACCATTTGTTTTGGAGGTTAATAAATAGATAGATAGGATTTTAGGAAGCATTTTCTTCCCTTGAGGCTTATTTGTGAATAAACCTCAACTACATATCAAATTATTTTACGTA